AAAACGCGAATACTGGTATGTACCTACTCCTGTTCCTCCTACATCAGATGCCTTAATTGTGCTGTTGAATAAACATCTCGTGTTTATATATTGCACAACAATCTCTTGTTTATTTTATCCACGGAATGTATTCGAAACTTTCTTATCGTAGTTTCTGAATCTTAAATTGGCCGTTGAGTCAAAACTTGACTATGCCAGTGGTAGTTCCAGAATTGCTGAACGAAACAGATGTTTTTGCGGTCGGTACCAAACATTAAGCTATTATCCGTTAATTAGTCATGCTAATTGTACCGACTGTGTCAAATTCTCGGTACGTGTCTTTATCAATAGTTTTTATGGATGTACCGTAAAGTTTTTCTTACCATTTCGCAAATGCCATTTTGGCGCCCGCATTATTAATAGTTAATAATATTTATTTGTTATTTTAATGCAATAGTGTACACATTGGTTATGCTCGTTTAGACAGTAATGGAGGGTATCGCTTTGGACGCAAAAAGATATTGTAGATTGTGGACTGACTTGGATTACATTAATTACGAGTATAATATAAATATTACAAATTGAATACAGACGAAGCTGCAGGATTTTCTTGTAGAGTAACATTTAATCTATTACAAATAAAAAATTTGATAACGCTATTGCCTACAATGATTATTTGTCGGTTAACGACTATCTAATTATTTTTATTGCCATCAAAGATAATAAATAGTAAACAATCTTTATCGCTTACAGATATTCAGATAAGCGATTACCCTAGACTTATTATGGAACATTAGAAATCCTTTGATCTAAGGAAAGACTGCTTCTATTTGTATTTTTACGTGGCTGCATGGAAAGTATTTATTGTAACTGTTTTAGATGATCCAGTCATCGCTTATTAGATTCAACCCTACAGTTTTCGCTAATTTCATTTGCATTGGGTTTCTAAACATAATTTTAATATCCGGCTCTGAGACGAAATGCCTTCTATAATGTTTCTCTATATTTATGACATGTCATACGCGAGGTTCGAAAAAACAAAATCGAGAATTGGAACTTACGTGTCAATTTGTGTGGCGGCATTTACGTTGTTGATGCTTGTGGGCTCTGGTAACCACTGAACACCAGATGAAATCGTTCAGTTCATAAGCCAATAAAATAATCATAAAAAAGGAGACTATACTAGATCTAGACTAGACTATACAGATCCGCTCCGCTCTTGATTCCACATTTCGCAACGCCCCCCACACCGCCAGAGATAGAAACAGTTGCAGGAAAATCGAGCGAGAGAAAGTGATACAAAAGGTTGGTCACGACCCTCACCACTAAGGAGTACCACCCAGGGAAGAGGATACTAGTACTCAAAACAGAATTCGTTATGTGTGGTATGAAATAACGACTAATTAAAAAAAACTAGAGCTTGGAGTGCGATCAGATGATTGTCTCATGTTTCTTAGTCGACGATAGTATTCATGCTGTTACATTGTGTCTATTCGCTTATGCTGTTATCAAGCAATCGATATTTTAAAAGCATTATCGCAATCAACCGTTTGTTTCATCTCATTTAGAGATCTCGTTTCTTATCTCAGTAACGATAAACTCAAAGTAGCAAAGATATAAATTTTACTACATCCAGTTTTGTTCTAACGCTTGTACGCTTCAAGAAGTCGTGAGTGAGTCGTGTACATATTTTAAAATTTTATATGCTACTTTGCTATGACTACAATTACTTGTTTGTCATGTTATATGTATTATCTTTACAAGTTTTTTTTTTCTGTAGAAATTAATAATAATCTTAACGCTATGTTCGGCATATGGTTTTTTATCAGTTTGTCAGTATATCTATAAAAAGTATCCGTTTTCTGCATTTTTGGTGATAATTTTGTGTTTTCTTCTTCTTCTTCTTCTTCTTTAATATCTCTCTCTGGGTAGAGTGGATGTGAACATCATGTGCTTAGTCACGGGTTTTACATCCCGATGCTACTTAGCTGCCCTATTTCGGATGCGCTTCTTGGGCTTACGTGTATGAAGCAATTGGTTAGGGTCCTGTGTGCTTAGTGCGAGTTTTTTAACCTTCTCGATAGCGTAAAAGTTAACCCAATTTTGTGTGCAGTTGGAACAGCGCCCCTAGCGGCAAACGTAGGCAAACGATCCCATTCCATACAAATATGAGCTAACTTTTACGCTATCGAGAACGTTAAAAAACTCGCACTAAGCGCACTGATCTGGTCAGTCCACGTTGCGATAGACTTGCCGCGCCCTCTAAAGCAGTCTACCTTGCCCCGGGTTAACAGGTGCTCGATCGTTTTCTTAAAATAGGTTAAGGCAATGAAATGTCAATTTTAAAGCCCGTAGAAGATAACCGGGCTGCTTTTTTTTTTCATACCTAATCGTTGGTAGCCTAAGGGGTGATTCCAACTACTTGCGGACCAGTAAGTGAGCTCACAGGTTCAACCTGAGAGGTTTTGCTAACACTGGTCCTAGCAAGAGCAATGCTTCGCTGAATCTACCACCGAATCAGAATCGCGACCCACAGAAGATTCGACGAGAAACTCACTGGGTTGTGTCTATGGATTCTTTGGTGACTATAGTGTGTTAATGCATAATAACCACGGATCGCTTCTTCATTTACCGATCACTAAAACTTTCTGAAAAGTCTCATATCTTGGCGAAATTCCTATAGCTTAATAAAAAATCTTAGTGTGATTATCATCATGTATTCGATCAATTATACTGTATCCTTTATTGATAAGAACTAGTTTATTTGTACATCGTTTTATTTCAGCCTGATTGTTATTTTCTCTCTCTCTCTCTCTCTCTCTCTCCCCCTCAGTCTGACGGTTAATTTAGTAGTGAGACAATTTTTCTTCAGATCACCTAAATGCATCATAATTGCGTATAGATTTTAGAGAAGAAACCCAAAATTTGATCGAAATATTTTAAGTATACACAAAATCTTGGTAGTAATATTGTTTATATTGCTCACATTGAAGCACAGTGTACCCAATATTATTATATTATTTATTTATTTATTTATATCAAACAAGCTAAATCTAATTTAAATGTCAGACGTCTTTAGGTAGTAAAATATTTGATGTTGAATATAGTCCCGCTGACGTAAAAGCGAATAAAAAACACTTTTAAATTCTGATGTCTAGAATTCATACAAGTTTGTATTTTGTTCTCGTCATTTCTGAATCGGTCAATTAAATATAATACATATGTGTTGTAAGTTATTTCTGTACGGTTGGAAGATTTTTTGTTATTGAGCTATTAGTTTTAACACGCGAGAACTTATTTATTTCTGAATGAAATCAATGGAGGAGGCGAGTAAAATAAATAACGTATCGTTTTAAGTTTGTACCATGTCTTTTTCCGAATGTTTTCTTATTTTTTAAATCTTTTAAGTATTTTTGAAGTCGTCGTGGCCTAAAAGATAAGACGTCCGGTGCATTCGTGTTGAAGAGATGCACCGGTGTTCGAATCCCGCAGGCGGGTACCAATTTTTCTAATGAAATACGTACTCAACAAATGTTCACGATTGACTTCCACGGTGAAGGAATAACATCGTGTAATAAAAGTGAAACCCGCAAAATTATAATTTGCGTAATTACTGGTGGTAGGACCTGTTGTGAGTCCGCACGGGTAGGTACCACCGCCCTGCCTATTTCTGCCGTGAAGCATTAATGCGTTTCGGTTTGAAGGGTGGGGCAGCCGTTGTAACTATACTGAGACCTTACAACTTATATCTCAAGGTGGGTGGCGCATTTACGTTGTAGATGTCTATGGGCTCCAGTAACCACTTAACACCAGTTGGGCTGTGAGCTCGTCCACCCATCTAAGCAATAAAAAAAAAAAGTCTACATACACGTATGAAATGATGTTTTTTAATAGTTTGTGCTCGCGAGTTTTTTTTTCTTTTTGAAGTAAGCTATTATTATATTTCATCGATAAGAAAAAAACATGTTATAAATGTAGAATTTTCTGGAGCATGTGTCACGGGTAACGTTTTGAAATTCAACAAGCATGTTTTCAGTGACATTTAAGTTAAAATAAACGATTTAGATTTGAATTTTCTGGATCTTTCGGTTGAAAACAAACTCACTTATTAAGAGCACAAAAATGGTATCTTGCGGTTAGTGTCTTATAAATAAAATTATGTACTAAAATTCTTTGATATCTAGAAACAAAACGGATATTTTGTTGATATCAGTTACGTAAACAATGTTTCAAATTATGCCATTTGGTTTATCGTTCTCTCTTGGCACTCAACGGAGAAGGCTACTGATAATCTTTTTTAAATAAAATTGATCCCGACATTGACATTTATAAGAGCTACATTTGATTGCAAATAATAATGTTTTTAATAATAATATTGGAAATAATCGTAAATTTGTCAAGTATGTTCTTTCGGATATCTATATATTAATACGTGAAGCAAAAATTTTTGTACCCCTTTTTATGAAATTGCGCGGACGTATGAGGCTTCCCACACTGATAGAGAATATAGAGAAGAAGTGCAGATGGCAATTTTTTTTTAAATTATGCATTAGACATATGTACATTAAATCAATAAAAAAATATTACACACACTACCATGTATTTGACACACACACATAACAATATATACATATATTATTTGTGTATTGTCAAACTTTTGTTATTGCTTAAAGTCTGTTGTCAAATTGAGAATAGGTTAATATTGTAACTCTTTAATATTATTTTTCTATAGTGTAACTAGTCTTGGCGAAATCTGTGATTATAGAAGTATAAATAGTCTTTGACCATAGAACCGTAATCATGTTCAAACTCATAATCTTAATTAATCACCGTCCCGCAGTAGTCGAAATTCGAATTTCGACTACTGCGGGACCACTACGGTTTATCTGGACGACTGTAGTGGACTGTAGTAGTGTAGTGGTCTGGTAATGGTTGAATACCGCGCAATCGTCTTTTAGCGAGTCGGGAGACTGTAACGCATATGCAGTATTAATTAAATTAGATTTTTTTTCTCATTTCAGGTCCCTTGTCTCGTCCTGCAAAGATGTCGAGCGGTGGTACAACGGGGGCACTGCTGTACGCGGTGAGCGCGGCCGTCTTGGGAATGCTACAATTCGGTTTTAACACCGGCGTCATCAATGCCCCGAGAAAATTCATAGAGAACTTCGTACGTGATAATTACGAAGCGAAGCCGTCGCTCATTTTTAGTGTTATCGTGAGCATATTCGCCGTAGGAGGCATGATTGGATGTCCACTTGCCAGTTGGATGCTCGATACTCAGGGACGAAAGAAAGCCTTGCTCTATAACGCAGCATTCGGTATTATTGGAGCAGCTTTTATGGGTTTCAGTAAATTGGCGACTTCAGTTGAAATGCTCATCATTGGTAGATTCCTTATTGGAATCAACTGTGGCTTCGCAACGACGGCCTCGCCTACATACGTGTCCGAGATAGCTCCGGTAAGAATGCGCGGCGCTTTCGGCACCGTAAACCAATTAGCTGTGGGATTCGGCATGACCTGTGGCCAGATTTTGGGTATTGATGTGATTTTGGGTAGCGACGAAGGCTGGCCGTTGTTGCTCGGATTAGCGGTCGTTCCGGCTGCCATTCAATTAATTATGCTGCCGTTCGCGCCCGAATCACCAAGGTATTTGTTGCTATGCGCCCACGACGAAGAGAAAGCGAGAGTGGCCTTGACTAAAATTCGAGGCAGCAGCGATGTAGAAAACGAAATTAACGATATGCACCTTGAAGATCAAGCGGCCAGGGAAGAGCAGAAGTTCTCCGTGAAAGATTTGTTCACGACCCCAGCCCTGAGGATACCCCTCGTGATTGGTATCGTGATGCATTTATCCCAACAGTTGGGCGGAATCAACGCGGTATTGTACTATTCCTCCACGATATTTGTAAAAGCCGGTTTGTCTGAAGAAGACGCCCGGTTAGCTGTGATCGGTGTGGGCAGCATTCTTTTCGTGATGGCCCTCGTGTCGATACCCCTTATGGACCGACTCGGCCGACGGACACTGCAGCTGTGCGGTCTCGGCGGCATGACAGCGTTCTCTATACTGATGACGATCGCGTTCTTCACGTACGAGAACAACACGACGATGAGTATATTCGCCGTGATATTCACATTCTTGTACGTCGCGTTCTTCGGCGTCGGACCTAGTTCGATCCCGTGGATGATCCTGTCGGAGTTGTTTGGTCAGGGAGCCAGGAGCGCGGCCGTCAGCGTCGGCGCTCTCGTTAACTGGTTCGCGAACTTCGTCGTGGGTCTAACGTTCATTCCTATGTCGGAAGCATTGGGGAACTACGTTTTCATACCGTACACGATCCTACTGATTATATTCTTCGTGTTCACGTATTTGAAGCTGCCCGAGACTAAGAACAGAACTATCGAGGAGGTGACGGCTCTCTTCAAGAAGTAGACGAATTTGTATGTTGTAAACCGCATTCCTTAGAACGTAAGTGTACTTGTTAGTCTAAGATCACGTTGTGATACTTTAATCGGTGTGCTTAGTGCGAATTTTTTAACGTTCTCGATAGCGTAAAAGTTAACTCATATTTGTATGGAATGGGATCGTTTGCCTATGTTTGCCGTTAGGGGCGCTGTTCCAACTGCATACAAAATTGGGTTAACTTTTACGCTATGGAGAACGTTAAAAAACTCGCACTAAGCATACTGGACGTGTTTTGATAGATTGAAGGTGATTTTTCGGTGCAAGACGTAAAGTTTTCTTTTGTTTATTTATTTTCACTCTTTCCACGATTCGTATGTGATATTTAGATTTAGAAATACACGTAAATGTAGATGGCACACGGGCGTCGTAATAAGTTTTGGATTTCCCTCATCGCACTAAGACTGAAGGATTCGGTTACCATTCACAAATAGCATTGAGTACGTAACGTACTGTATATGTGAAGTACTTATTCGTCGAGCTATGAAATGTTTACATGATGGTTATTGAAGGTATTTTAGAATATATTTTTTTTTAAATCAATATTTAGAGAACGAATTATTTATAATATTTTTATGTGAGACACATTTTGAATATAATAAAAAAAAACGCAGCTGTGAAGCTATAGTTAATATTCTCTTCGGTTTACGAGACTTAGTTGATTTCTTTAGATTCTTCGATATACATAATTAAAACAAGTTTTACGGCTTAATCACGAGTTTATTATTTTCGCCTATATTATTTGTAACGTATCAAATGTTTTACAGGTTTCGTGGTCAAGTAAGACCGAGGTTCGTTATTCGTCAATATTTAAATTTTGTTTTAACTGCCGCGATTAAACCGTAAAAGTGTTTTTAATCGTGTCTACAGTTTAAAATCGATTTATTGAATATTTTTACGTATGTACGTGATTAAAATGTAAAATTTATTATCTATTTACGTTGTAATCAACTCGCTATTTAATTTTAAGTTTATATGTTGTTAAGTTTTCGATATTTTAATAATTATGTACAACTATGCTTTTTACAATGTAAATAAAACAAATTGTTTACATGTACACTTATTTATTTCATTATATAAGCATTTTTATAAATTATCATATTAGTAATAATAGTAACAGTACGTCTGATATATTTTTTATTCGAGATAAATCTCTATCGGAACGTGTGTCCTCTAGAATTGTAAATCAATTGTGTAAAGTATTTTTTGCTTAGATTTTTTTTTGAAAGTTGAATATATTTATATACGAATTTATTGCTCTTTCGATAAATAAAGGAATAAATAGTGGTTACCTTATAACAGATTGCGTTGAAAAAAATAGTTATCACAAATAATTTATATCTTACGGCAGCTTTTCACAAGTATTTAAAATAAAATTGTAATTGAAATAATAGTGGTAATTATTTAACAAGAGAAATCATTGAGATTTGTTTGAGTTAATCTGAATTCAGTGAATTTGTTTGAATATAAAAACGTAAGAAGAATTAGATATATACAGCCTTAAATAAAGACACAAATTACTTCTTACTGACTAGTCCCACGGCACGACCTGGGTCAGCCGAAGTGTTTTATTTTCATGCCGGCACTGAGTCCACGCAGCTGGCTTCCGATCGATTTTCACATAAAATACCTACTCGTAATAGGGACGAGCGCAGAGAGTACATTTTAATTCGACACAGATCGTTTTTTTTTATATGTAATAAAAAAAAAACACGTAATAGTAATTGCCGATACAAATGTATGTGCAAATGCATAAACTATTAGCCATTGTTTTCTTGAATCTATTGTACGCAATTACTCGGAAGAATCGCAAGCAAAAACGTATTTCTGTACATGTTATTTAAAAAAAGACTTCAAAGAAAATCGATTCTGATGTTATCAATTACATCGAGGGGTAAAAAGCTGTTTGGTTTAAGCGTAATTTCGCTTAATACGCGACATGTACCTTTGTAATTAAAGATGCGTATTATTTGGTATAAGCATGAACATTTTGATATTTTTAATTGAACTTCAATTAAGTATACCCATTCAAATAGCTGAAGAAGACTTTTTGGTAAAGATATTTAAAAAAAAAATAATAATAAAAAATTAAACTTAATTTTGGGAACGATATGTAAAAAAAAGTTAAAAAATATTTTAAACTTTAAATTTTAATCTGTAAAGTTGTAAAAATGTCTCTTAAATGAAACAGCCTTTCTCCCCTCGATATATGAAACTAATTCGAAACGTCTGGTATAATTAAATGAAAATAATAAAGGCGAGTATAATTAAATGAAAATAATTCAATTAGTTTAAACTTTATTTTATCAATATTAGACATCTAACCGTCCCAATGTACCTCAGTGCCAACGTACCAATTACAAGTCTTATTATAGTGTGATCGTTAATTTATAAACAGACCAGTATACATTTATGAAGAAACTTTTTACTGGTGGTAGGAGCTCTTGTGAGTCCGCGCGGGTGGGTACCACCACCCTGCCTATTTCTGCCGTGAAGCAGTAATGCGTTTCGGTTTGAAGGGTGGGGCAGCTGTTGTAACTATACTTGAGACCTTAGAACTTATATCTCAAGGTGGGTGGCGCATTTACGTTCTAGATGTCTATGGGCTCAGTATAACCACTTAACACCAGGTGGGCTGTGAGCTCTTCCACACCTCTAAGCTATAAAAAAAAATCTAATCTATACAATATTTCTTGTGTACAGCATTATCTTGTACATAAAATAATAGAAACATCAATAATATATTATTAAAGGGTTTGAAAGAAATTCAAACGTTGATTTGTTGATAAATTTAGTATTTATTTTCTAATTTGTGTTTTTTTTTTGAATCATTTAAAAAACAAATATATTATTTAGCTTTAATTTCTTCACTTCAATGCAATTGTTATATTTTTTCTAAATTTTATATCAATTTAAAATTTGTTCTACGTAGAACAAATTAGAAGATTATTTAGAAATAAGCTTAAATACTATCTACTCAACATGATATATGAGAAAAATGTATTTCATTGTGACTATATAATGTATAAAATGTTGCAATAATTAACAAAAATATAATATTATTAAAAAAAATTAAATATATTTTAAAGTCGAATTTAATTCAAATGTTGAATAAATAAATGATCATGAATAGAATTTTGTCTTTGGTTTTACTTATCTCTAGTGAGGCTTGGATGTGCTTTCTTGCGATTATCGCTTAGTGGTGCTGTATGATTTTTTAATTATTTATTTTTTATTACTTAGATGGTAGGACGAGCTCACAGCCCACGTGGTGTTAAGTGGTTACTGAAGGCCATAGACATCTACAACGTAAATGCGCCACCCAGCTTGAGATATATGTTCTAAGGACCTAAGGTCTCAGTATAGTTAGAACGGCTGTCCCACCCTTCAAATCGAAATGCATTACTGCTTAACGACAGAAATAGGCAGGGCGGTGATACCTACCCGTCCGGACTCACAAGACCTTACCGAATTCAATAACAAACGCTAAACCAATGGTTACATGGATAGAAGGAATAAGCTAACGACAAAAAGCAATCGACGCTAAATGATCCTAGAGCTAGTGAACGCATAATCTACGTAAAAAAAAGGGTTCAGTTTGTTTTAAGGCTATTGCCTTATTATAGAAAATTTTTTGGTACCTAACTTATTTAATGAAGATCAAAAGTTTATAAGTAAAGAATAATATATTGTGAACACAATATATTTATGTGTGACTAGCTGAGTCCCGCGATGTTATATATAGCCGGAACAAACAGACAGACAGACAAAAATTGTAAAAAATGTTATTTTGGTGTATATACATTCATATGCATGTAGTAAAAAGTGGTTATTTCAATATTACAAATAGACGCTCCATTTTTATTTATATGTATAGTTAAGAATGTAGTTCGAATCGTAAGCTTAGAAAGTACTAGTACTAGCGCAGATCGGCCGGAGGAGAATCCTTCGAAGCTCGAAACGTGCCATTGGAATTTAACCATTAATCGTCTCCGCATAAGGCCGAGAACAGCTGCAAAGCCTCGTCTTGTTCCTCTTCTTCGATCTCTCCTTCCAACCAGAACGTTTCCATCATGCCCTTACCCTGGAATAACACCAATTATTGGTTTATTGTGAATGAAATGACGATTTATGTCAATCTTAATACACCAGTGGTAAGTAAGGCTTATTGTAGACTAGCGATCCACGAGCCGCGGGGCGAAGCTAGTCTAAAAAAAGTAGCCTAAGTTACTTCTTATATCATAAGCTATTAGTAAAAGTCTCATCAAAATCGGTCCAGCCGGTCCAGATATTAGCCGGAAGAAACAGACAGACAAACAGACAAAAATTGTAAAAAATGTTATTTTGGTGTATGTACCGTATTCATGCGCATGTAGTAAAAAGCGATTATTTCAATATTACAAACAGACACTCCAATTTTATTTATATGTAAAGATTCACACCACTGCTTTGCCAATTTCTGCAGCGAAGTATTTTTGCGCTGAGCTTTGAATAGTGGGATAGGCAATGTACCAATGAGACTTCGATCTAATGTCTCAAGGTGTAACAGTGTAGTTTCCGGATACTGAGACCTTAGAACTCGTATCTCGAGGTGGGTGGCGCATTTACGTTTTAGATGCCTATGGGCTCAGGTAACCACTTAACACCAGGTGGACCATGAGCTCGTCCATTAATCTAAGTAAAAAAAAGTAGTCTGTCACTTCCCTGACTGAGTACAATTTCTTTTTAAAAAGCACATCAATCCGTTGCAATACGTTTCGACGTAAAAAAAACAATCACAATTCTATAACACTCACACATTTCTAATATTAATAATTATTATGGTATAAAATATTATTGTAACAGCGCCCCTAGCGGCAAACGAAGGGAAGCTGTTCGAAATCCATACGATTTCGAGTTAACTTTAACGCGATCGGGAAGTTAAAAAACTCGCACTAAGCACACTGTAAAAACGTATTAAATCAGAAAGATTGAAAAATTTATTTAAAAAAATATACGTTTTTTTATAGTGAAACGAATTTTTAATCTAAATCATTCTCGAATCAACTCGAACACACACAAAAAAAAATCAGTCATTTAGGAGGAGTACACTATCATACATAATGCGTTTTGGTTTGAAGGGTGGGGCAGCCGTTGTAACTATACTGAGACCTTAGAACTTATATATCAAGGTGGGTGGCACATTTAAGTTGTAGATGTCTATGGGCTCCAGTAACCACTTAACACCAGGTAGGCTGTAAACTCGTCATCAATCATGATGATGATTGATGACCAGGTAGGCTGTGAGCTCGTCTACCGATCTAAGCTATAAAAAAAATACACACGGACAGAAGAATTATACGTATATTTATAGAAATAGGTCATCATAGGATCACAATACCTTAACTTTGATAACACCTCGAGGACGAAGCCTGAACCTTCCCGCGGGCAGTTGTGCCGCTGTGGTAGCGGAGATCTGGATCCGCCCCGGCTACAACAATTGTTAAAATTAAAAATACATAAACACATGATTAGGTGCATGGTGAGCCTTCATAGGTAGGTAGCACAAAATGGTTTTTTTTAATGTCCCTACTCATTCACTGATAGCCTAAGGGGATATATCAGCTAAAACAGCTGATAGGTGAGCTCAGTGGCTCAACCTGAAAGATTTTCCTAACACCAGCCCTATCAAGAACAGCGCTTCGCAGAATCTACCACCGGATCGGATCCGCGACCCACTGAGAAGATCCGACGAGAAACTCAGTGGGCTGTGTCTATGAGTTGATTCGCAATAAAGCATTCGTGCGTTGTAAGCAATCATGAAATTGATGAAAATTCAATAATGAAAAAGTTTGTTTAATATTTGTAAAGCTCATTGACATCACAACATGCCTCTATTAACTTTAAGACTTAAGATTGAACGCAATTGTAGAGTTTTTCCACCTTTAAAACCGAGATCTATTACTGCATCTGGGCTGAAATAGGTAGAGTGATTACGAATCCGTACAGGCTCACAGGACATCCTACCACCAGTAAGAGCTTCATATTTTATTAATAAAGTGTGTTTTCGTGCGAAATATATACTAGTAAGATAACTCGAGGAGGCTTGATGTTAGGCAGAGGGCCGTTCGTGAAACTCCTGCCAAATCCTGCCAAATGCCAGATAACATGACATGTTGACCACACGTAATGCGGAATAAGTGTAAGAATCTTGTTCAATATAATAATGTTACGCCGGTAAGAGTAACGCCATCTATCGCCGAATAGTCGAACGAATACCGAAGGACCTAGTAGCACCTAGAACGCTCGTGGAGTACAACGCCATTTATTGTCAGACAGCGGAAACACAATACTAGAGATGTGTGGAATGTTCTCGATAATGCTAGGGTTGTGGTATCGGCTATATAAGCGTTACAGAGATGGCACGCAGTCGGTTAGTAATCGAAACCACTCGAAGCGAAACAGCGAACGGTTCACCTGAAGCGAAGCGGAAGAAGCGAATTGAGAGTTTTAAAGTGTTTGTTGAGTGTTTTAAGTTTTCTAAGTGCTAATAAAGTGTTAACTTGTAATTCGGTAGAATTTTTATTTATCCCGAACCCCAGCGCGTAACAATAAGATAAGAAGTAGTATAAGAGCAAGAACAAGATATAAACTGATAAGAAATGTATATAAACATGTGTTAAATACGTGCCTCAGAAGAAGTTTGCATTCTACTCGCTGTGTTCACGGTGTCTCCCACAAGACAGTAACGAGGAAGCCTCAACCCCAAAACTCCCGCGACGCACGGACCGGAATGTATTCCTGTGGTAAAAAATAAATTGAGTAAATAAATAAAAATGGTGCGCGTGAAACTTGATGCACGTGAAATTTGAAATTGTATTTTTACTGGTGGTAGGACCACTTGTGAGTCCGCACGGGTAGGTACCACCACCCTGCCTATTTCTGCCGTGAAGCGTTAATAGGTTTCGGTTTGAAGGGCGGGGCAGCTGTTGTAACTATACTAAGACCTTAGAACTTATATCTCAAGGTGGGTGGCGCATTTACGTTGTAGATGTCTATGGGCTCCAGTAACCACTTAATACCAGGTGAGCTGTGAGCTGGTTCACCCATCTAAACAATAAAAAAAAGAGAAAAAAATAAAAATAAAAGTGAAAATTCTGTTGCGGTGTGTGATATCGTGGTTTTCTTCTTCTTCTTGACTTGTATAATTTAAATTCGAAGCCAACACGGGCATCAACTAATATGTAATTTCAACGAAATACTGACATTTATCTAGTAAATAAAGTTACTTTAACCATATGTCGGTCAAGTCACCACAATACACGAATTTATTTTTCCCTGCCTAATCGTTGGTAGCTAGGGCTATTCTAGCTACGCCCCGGACGGGTAGGCGAGCTCACGGGCTCAACTTGAGAGAATTTACTAACACAATCCTAGCATGAGCAGTGCTTAGCTGAATATACTGGATTGAAATCGCGGGAAGATGTGACGTGAAATTCAGTGTGACTGATTACTGTCAAACTAATTAATTCCTTCCTGAGCTTTATAAAGCAGCAGTGGTGCAGTACCTATGACAGTACAAGATGCAAGTTACCTATAGTGAGCGCGGGCAGGGCGCGGCAGACTGCGAGCGCGGCACTGGCGGCAGAAGCGGCATGAGCCCGGCGCCGCTCGGGCGCTCCGGACACCAGCATGTACACTGTTCCTACTGTCTCCACCTGCAAAAAAAAGCATAATAGTAATTTTTTTTATTGCTTAGATGGGTGGACGAGCTCACGGCCCACCTGGTGTGAAGTGGTTACCAGAGCCCATAGATATCTACAACTTAAATGCCGCCGCCTAACTTGAGATATGTTCTAAGGTCTCAAGTATAGTTACAACGGCTGCTCCACCCTTCAAACCGAAATGCATTAATGCTTAAATAAATTATTAATTTATTAATTAAATACATACCTCTAAAAGCTTTATTTTTATAGTCTATGCTATTTTAAATAATATGCTATTTTTTATTATCTATGCTATGCTATTTTAATCGAATACTTACCACAATGAAATGTTGTACGCTTTCTAACAGCCAACCGTACATGCTTGAAGAATATACCTAACAATATTCTACGAATGCCTACCTTGAGATATATATAATGTACATAGTTCTAAGATCTCAGTTTTCACAGTATAACGACTGCCTCACCCTACAAACGGAAACGCATCACTGCTTTACGGTAGAAATATTTATTTATTTATTTATTTTATTTATTTTATTATTATTTGTGGTCATAGTTTAACAAAGATTAATAAGCTAATATTAATAAATGTATGACTATGTCCTGCTAGTAAAGCGTACAAATATTAGGTGTAAGTCTACATAAAAATAAAAAATAAAACTTAAATTATTCTACTTTATCATCTTAATTATCTAAAGTTATCGTCTAAATATTCTGACATACTATAGTAAGCCTTATCTATTAAAAATATTTGCAATTTTTGCTTAAAATCTTGTAAATCTACTGTCTTCAAAATTTTTATTGGTAGTTTATTAAATATTCTTGATGACATACTAAAAAAACTCTTGTCATAAAGGGCAGTTCTATGAGGTAGCGAAGAGATCTTTAAAGTATTCCTAACAGATTGCGGTTTTGCAAACAGATGTTTGTTCGTTTTGACAAAAATCGCTACCTCATAAATATATAACGATGTAAAAGTCATGATTTTAAACTTTTGAAAGAAAGGCTTACATGAGTCTGGTACATGAATGTTTGCTATAGCACGCACACATTTCTTTTGTGCTTTAAATACGTACTCTGNAAGTTGGGGAACATATTATAACATTAGTATGAGTTATTTTTTCTAATTTATTTTTTATGTATTCTACTAATTTTTCATAGTTGAAAGACATTTCAAAGTCTTTTGTACCTAAGAAAATAATACAGTAATCTTGTAAAGTATAGTTGACAAGTTTTAATTCTAAATTTACAAAAAGTTCAGTTATTCCTGCATTTGTTAAACAATAATGTATTATTTTAGAGTTTGTGAAGGTATACTCAGCTGTTTTCAATATGTTGTTTACATTATTATCACTTATAATACAAATTTTGTTAGAGCTTATTCTATTATTAAGATTACGTTGAGTTGAAATAGCGGTCCCACCTGTAACTGAGCTACAGAGGTGCTGTAAAGTATGTTTATGTTTATTATTAATTAGGTTCAAAAGTTGTTGGTTGCACATCGTTTCCATAGATGGCGTGGTTTTTAATTTATTTTGCGTATCAGGTGGATTTCGCTCGTTCGCGATTTCAATCGCTGATTTATTAGATTCAATAACAGTGTCGTCATCTGTGGTCGATGCCTCAAAACAACTGGAGTTACCTATTGCCGAGAGAGGTGATGACGTTCTAATATTATTATGTCGGGACTTTTTCTTCTTCGGTTTCTTTCGAATAACTTGTTTTTCTTGTTGGTTTGTTTCTGAATGTAATATTTTTGAGTCGTTGTTATTTGTTTGCAACATATTTTCTTTCAATTTGTTTATTTCTTCATAGGCATTTACTAATTCGTTTTTTAGTTGAAATATTTCTTTCTTGAGCTCTTCTATGTCACATCGATAACGAGTAGACAAGTCCAGTTGCAGATCCAGGTCTAGTGGGCTATGCCTTTCTATTTCCGAAGTTGTCGATCCAAAGGAAAGATCAAGTGAATCATTTGTAAGGGTCCTGTGACGACGAAGAGTTACATATTCGTTTGCAGATGTAGTTGGTGTTCTTTGAAGAGGCATTGTTATTGTTAATTTATAAATAAAACGATGAATAAAAAAGAAAAGCAAAAATTCAATAAAGCGCTTAGAAGCTTAGCGGAAAAAAATGTCACAAGCGCCATGCAATATAAACGGCACTTTATGAGGTATTTATTTGTATAAAAACTGTTCATAAGAATTCATAAAAGTCACAAACTAGCATGCACGAAACTCGGTTACAAACCCGTGACACCCTTCACTACAAGCTACATTCACTACAAAAATAGTAGCGAAATGGTTCTGTTACGCAAAACTCTCAAATGTTCGTTAGGACGCCTAGGTATTTCAAATTTTTGACTTTGAATGACTTGCGCGCGCACTGTTTACAATTTTGTTTCTAAAATTAAATGTTTAATATGAAAGTCACTATAAGAATTTAACACTGCTAATTATCGTCTTATTAGTTTGTGATTGTTTTCAGCAGGTATTATCATGGTATTTATCACTTAAATCTTATAGTTAATTGATATTTTATAGTCACTGTTTTGCACTCGGTTTTGATAGGTTTTAAAGTCTAACACTTATTGTTTTGAAGAGATAACACTTATCCACGAGAATTAGCACAAATATATTCTATTTTACTATAAATTGTGTCTTATTATTCATTAAAACTATTTTTAATGATTTAAAATACGCGGTTCACTTGTTTACGTTCGCGCCATTTTCGCGCGCTTTTTCAATAGGCAGGGTGGTGGTACCTACCCGTACGGACTCGCAAGACGTCCTACCAGTAATAATGTGATGTACAAAGGAGGTCTGTGTGCTTAGTGCGAGTTTTTTACCGTTCTCGATAGTGTAAAAGTTAAGTCAATTATGTATGCAGTTGGAACAGCGCCCCTAGCGGCAAACGTAGGCAAACGATCCCATTCCATGCAAATATGAGCTAACTTTTTTCTCCTACCTACGCCGAAAGTTCGGTTTTCCTCCCGCTGTACAGGAAAGAAAGTGTAACTTTTCCTCCCTGGGTACTGACAAGTGCGCATGCGCGTTAGTGTCTACGTCTGCTCTCACGCACCTAAAATTCGCCGCCATTGTTGTGCTCGGGTAATTTGCAATATTGTGTTTAGTGTAAAAGTGAAATAAACAAAAGGCAATAAAATTTAATAGTCAAATATTAAACAAAGATGAGTTCATCAGACAGTTCTTATTTAATTAGTAGTAGTTTATTTAAAAATTAAAAAACAGTTAAATTGTTTTTTTTTATGAGTGAGAGGGCCCGGCCCCCCATTCCTCGCTAGAGCTTCGCCCCTGTACCCCGGCTCGGTACTCCACGGGTGCTAAGTTTTTTACAATGTCGATCTTTCGGCCTGGTAGGAGAAAAAATAGTATGTGCACCGCGGGAAAAAAGTAGCATATCTCATCCCTTCACTTTTCTCCTTTGGTGCACAATATACTATTACGTTACGAGAACGTTAAAGAACTCGCACTAAGCACACTGAACATTAAGCCATTCGTTTCGTTGTTGTTGTTTTTTTTATATTTTTTTTATTGCTTATGTGGGTGGACGAGCTCACAGCCCACCTGATTTTAAATGGTTACTGGAGCCCATAGATATCTACAACGTAAATGCGCCACCCACCTTGAGATACAAGTTCTAAGGTCTCAAGTATAGTAACGACGGCTGCCCCACCCTTCAAACCGAAACGCATTACTGCTTCACGGCAGAAATAGGCAGGGTGGTGGTACCCACCCGCGCGGACTCACAAGAGGTCCTACCACCAGTAAAAGAGGTGTTGGCTACCTTATAAACTCGATGAGTATCCAGGAGCCGGTCGATCCTCGAATACACATCGTTAATATAAGCGACGGTCTGCATGACGTCGGCACGAGTCCCCGCCTCTGCTACCTGGACTCCGCAGAATATTATCGTCACAGATTCGAACGCCTGAAATATTATTTATTTTATTTAATATATTTTGTACACACAACTGTTAGAAGAAACACGATAATAAGGATACAGAGTACAAGGGCACTAATTATTTCATGTTGAAATCTCTTCCAGTAGGCCCGCAGAAGGAAACAAGAATTAGGAACACCAACCTAGTGGCATACAGTAAACATTACATATAATAATATATACATATTATAAGATACAAAACAATATATAATAATATACATACCAATACACACACATATAAACTACTTACTTTATATTATAATACATTATAAAAATATATTTTATACACTTTTATTTAATATAGTAATAGGATAAATAGTGTACTTTAACATATTTCTTGAACGCTGCTATTAATTAATTATTATTATACGCTATTAATTAGATCTGATTCGAGTTCTGGAATAATTGGTAAGCTTTTTTTTTTATTGCCCTTGTAGGCAGACGAGCATACGGCCCGCCTGATGGTGAGTGGTTACCGTCGCCCATGGACTTCAGCAATGCCAGGGGCAGAGCCAAGCCGCTGCCTACCGCAGCGTGATAAATTACATTGTATCTTCAAGATCAACCAAATATTCCTACGTGCTATGAGATTATCGAATTCTTGATTTATTTGATTTTCGGTATTAATACCGAAATCGGTATAAATATCGCATATACCTACGGTGCGATAACGTCACTTAAGCAAATTATGTAATTTTTCAGGAGAAACGTTGGAATATTCAACATCTTATTATATAATTCATAAATAGTTCTGCTAGGCTATAGAAACTACTTCACTTTTTTTGTCAACTTACCATTTAATTTCTGACTTGAAACATTGATAACGTTAGATAAACATGTCAACAATACTTCGAAATGTTTAACTTCACTATTTACTACCAAACCATTTTTTTTAGACGAAATTCGAGATTAATTTAGAGTGGGCCCTATTTTGTTTTGAGTAGTTTATTTAAACTACAAACTACATCAGTAAAAGCAAACATCTCTCTTGTCTCACTATAACTAATAAGTATAAAAATGTATTTTCTCATACTCAGTTCAGTGTTAATAAAAATTGCATAAGTGACTTGGTAGCATCGTATGTGCGATATGTTTTCAATAGATTTAGTGTCAATATGCTTCTATAGATTTGGCCTTAATCACTAACTTGACAAGCAGCCATCGGATCTCGTCCTGCTCTCAAATGATCAGCTATTCCCTTCGGTATCATGGAGTATAACAACTGATCGCCTCTCTTCTTCCATTGGTCCAGTAGCCTACAGGATTTCTCCAAAGACGAACATCGGGTCTCCGCTTTCTCGAACAGTAGCTCTAGTCTGGAGAGATGCTGCCAACCGTTTAGGAGCATCTCCTTAGAGAGTCCGTGTCCGTTCATATCGGCGACGTACAGGCCTGCTTGCCGGATTTCCTCTAGATCATTGAAGCTGGAAATTATTATAAGAATAATAAATAACTGTACATTGCACATAAGTTGAAACTACCTAACAAATTAAAAAAAGGCTTTCAAAGTTTTCTTAACTATAATATTGATCTACTGGATTGAAATGTAAATTCGTTTTAATAACTTTTATTTTAAAGTAAACTTTAAATCATATACAATTAAAAGAATTGGCGTTGACTAAAACCGATATCTTCCAAATAATCATCAGGTGGACTAAAGAATAATCTAAGAAAAGTAATTAACCGCTAAGTACCGATTGAAAAAGTAATATTTAAATAAATTATATAGTTAGTGATTATTATATTAATACTTTAACTTTTTCAAAAAATAAGCTGATTATAAATATCTGATTTTATGTATTATAAATCTACAGTGGTTTTTACGGATGTTCCGTTACAACTTCTGAACCGTGCATCCGATTGACTTGAAGCTTGGTATCCATGTAGAAAATACATGTAATTAATAGATAGGCTAATATTTATATAAGTGTTGGACTCCCTAATAATAATGACAATAAATAATAATGTTAATTTTAAATTCCCAGCCAAGCGGACGAGTACGGCTAGTAATATGATAAACGCAATATTTTGTAATATTTTAATGGTTGAATTCATTAGCAATCAGATTCTTCCAGAAGACTGTTAAAATAAACATATCTGAACCATACATGGGACTGCATAAGAAGATGAGGGCGTCAATTTCTTCGAGTAGATAAATGGGTCCCCTTAATAATATGGAACGGGCACCCTGAGACCCTCGTCTCGCCTCACTCGTGGACTTCGCACGCCAACGCACCAACTCCAGTTCAAAGATCATTGTCTGCATACAGACCACCTATTGAACAAATTTATATTTAAAATGACTTAATAAAAACAAAAAAATGTGAAAAATAAGACAAATTTACGAAAAATATAAGCACATAGATTTCGGGAACGTTAGAGGCAAATCAGAAGAAGCTTCCACTCACCAACGCATTTTCAAATTAATAAAAAAGATGTTTAACAGTAATAGTAATACTATCAATGAATACAAAAAATATTTTTGTCAATCAGAATTCGTTGCCTTTGTAGCAGAAACATTTAAATCAATACGGGAGCGCTTAAAAATCCACGCATTTGCACTTGAACCTTTTTCCCTTTGGCCTTTGTGTAAACCAGCAACTCGAGACAATTTCAAGATAATTAGGGAAACGAACCAAACAAAAAACAATATCATCGATCTATTTGTTTTTATATCCAAAACAACCAAATTTGATAAATATTAATTACACTGTGTAATAAGTTTAGTATTTTTTTTGAGTTATTACTGATGGCCCGGAGGCCTCTCCAGTTCCACCAGGACAGGTGGGGAGCAAAGGCTGAGCCAGGAGGGGTGGGATTTGCTAACAGCTGCCCGAGCGCCTCCAAAGGAGACCTAACAACTCAAGGGCAGCTGCTTCGCGAATGAATCTACTACCGAATCGGAATCGCGACCCGGTGAGAAGATCCGGCGAGAAACTCAGCGATTTGATGCGTGATTGCAGCGAGTTGGTTAGGTTACACGTCAAACTCTTTGTCAAATTCGACGAGTATGGTTACCGGGGTCCCTAAGCCTGCTCCTAGTGTTAGAGCTGAAGGCATCGATTGCAAAGGTTATTGGATCTGATGGATTCGTAGGAACGTGTCTAGGGCGTCGACGATGACTGAATCCTGCGTGATCAGGATTCGGGGAGTAGCCAGCGGCGGCAACGATATGGCGATTTTTTTTTACTATTGCTTAGATGGGTGGACGAGCTCACAGCCCACCTGGTGTTAAGTGGTTACTGGAGCCCATAGACATCTACAACGTAAATGCGCCACCCACCTTGAGATATAAGTTCTAAGGTCTCAGTATAGTTACGACGGCTGCCCCACCCTTCAAACCGAAACGCATTACTGCATGACGCATAGCCTTATCGAAGTAACGTTCCGATGCCGACTTCCTGTGTTTCCGGAAAGTTTACCTGCGTTGTATTGCGCCGGTCATGTCCATCGAAATGAGTTTCCAAATGTTAATTTAAATGATAAATTGATACTCGCCTTATCCCAAGTAAACGAAACTTTTGGTTTCCTCAGGCGTAGAACTTCGACGATTGACGATTTTTCAATACGATTATACGGTCCGCCCCAAGCCGCTACCAACTAAAGTAAATGATTAAATTTTAAAATTACATCAATACTTAATTTTAACATAAGAACAAAGTTAACGAAATCCATACATTATAAAAATATATATTTTTATAATGTATGTCATTTCGGGTTGAAAATATTGTTATTAGGAATTAAAAAGGCTTATCTTGCTTTAAGTACTTTACTATGTACAACATATCAGCGGCATCTTTTTCTTTTACTTCACCTTATCCCACTAGGTTGAGTCGGCACAGCAAATTTTTCTCTTCCATTCTCTTCTATCAGCCGTCATCTCAACACTCACTCCTCTCTCTCTCTCTCTCTCATATCGTCATTCGCACACTCCATCCATGTCTTCTTCGGTCGACCTCTTCCCCTCTACCTTGCACTACCATTTTCATACATCTCCTAGTCACATGCATGCACATGAACATAAATTATTTAAGGACAATAAAATAACTACGGTTGCACGTTTAAATATTGAATTCACTCGTAAAAGTCGTTCCAAGATTTTGCGGGTTATTTTAACGCTAAATAGCTTTAAAAACAGATTGACGAGTTACTTTTTCGCCGGCCATTAAGATTTTCATTCTTCGGTCAAGCAGTACTCCAAACGGAAACAATTGCAGCAGTAGCGAAGCCGGCACCGATGGTAGAGGACAAGCTATGTTCTTGCGGAACATCAACGATTGTACCTTAAATGAAAAACGATTGAAGACAAACATATAATTTTATATTTAAAAAGAAATGTAGTTATGGGCTCTGTAAATTTTCGAGATGATAATATGGTCAGAGCGAATATTAACCGTTAAGAATTTAATACGGAATCGCTCGTACTCGTAACGGAGATACCAATTATATTATGTATCATGTACCAACAAAATCATTTGTTATTATTAAAGAACAAATCGAGGGATGAAATCCTATTTGGTTAAAACGACATTTTTGCAATTTTACAGGAGAGCCATTTCAAGTTACGTAAAAATAAAAAAAATAAAAGATGTGGTGTCGTGGGACACCAGGTAGGAACGAAGTTCCTTCGGCTAATGTAGAATCGACACAATTTGCAAAAAAAAAATCGTGCTCAATTTTATGTAGGTTTTCTTGATTTTTCTCTTAAATTTTGCTGATTAGTTTTTTTTTAATTATAGGAAAGTATTTAGGAAATTCAGTATTTTAGGAAATAATAAATTACGTAAAATAGAAAGAGAATGGATGAGAGAACGAAAAGAAAGAGGGAGAAAGAGAAAGGTATTATACACTACCCGCTTGTGTATGCGACTGTCGCGCCTGCGCACGTCTCATTTAACGGTTTTATTCCACGCACTTTTTTCCACGGATTTTTTCTTACGGTTTTACTATCACATTTTTTTCAGGAACTTCGTTCCAAAAAATATACATATCACAACAATAAATATATTCAGCTATTTAAATCGAGTAAACTTAATTGAAGTTCAATTAAAAACATTGAACTTGTGGAAGGCTTAAACGACGAAAGGAAAGATCTTCCACTGAGCGGGTGATATTGCTCGGTAGACCGACGGTCCGAATGTTGTTGTTCGGAACTTGTATATACGCAAGCTCATTTTGAAAATGTCGTAAGCGAGATTCAGGCATTTGTCAAATATCTTGCATTGTATGATGGCTACCCACCACAAACTCTTGATTATCATTATCTCAGCCTGTTGAACATAGGCCTCTCCAACTGATCTCCAGTGCGGCCGGTCCATTGCCGCCTGCATCCAACAAGTCCCAGCGATTGTCACCTGGTCGTCGGTTCATCTGGTAGGTGGACGGCCCACACTGCGCTTGCCATTACGTGGTCTCCATTTTAGCTTTACTGGTGGTAGGACCTCTTGTGAGTCCGCGCGGGTGGGTACCACCACCCTGCCTGTTTCTGCCGTGAAGCAGTAATGCGTTGAGACCTTAGAACTTATATCTCTTGTGGATGTCTATGGGCTCCAGTAACCACTTAACACTAGGTGGTCTGTAAGTTCGTCCACCCATCTAAGTAATAAAGAAAAATTGCTATGTTTATTTTCGCTATAGAATTATTCAGGAACAAAAAACATATTTTTTATTTTGTACGTAATCGTTTTAGTGTTTGAACTATGTCTAATTATTTTTGTACTAGTACTCGGTTATTTATAACAAATTTTACAAGACATTCCTATCTACAAATTTACTCAAGCTTCTCTCATTACAAATGTACATAGTAAATGGTATGTTGTACGTAATTTGCTGAAGAAAGTTAGTAAATAAGAAAACATTCCTTAGAAGGCGAGCCTCATTTGCGGCTACCGAACGCGAACAGGGACGTAATTGGAAATAAAACTTTGGATATAATCTGATCTAAGGCATTCTGAAATAGAGCTAGTTCGGAATCTCTATATGTTTTTAACAACTGCAATCTCGTATCTCTACCGCTCGGACCGGGAGATCTTCTAAAACTAAACAGATTTAAATAACGCTTCCACTTACAGTTGTAGGAAGCGAAAGCAAAGAGTATTGTGGCTAATTTGATTTCATCACCGTACCAAAGCTAAAGTACCATTGGCCACTAAGTTTCTAGATGTAGGTCGCGATTCCGATCCAGTGGTAAATTCAGCGAAGCAATGCTTTGGTTAGGTCTAGTATTAGGCATCAGTACGTCCTCCCTATGAGCTCACCTGTCAAACCAACGATTTGGCAGGAAAAATAAATAAATAATATACGTTACATTTCCTAATTTATTTCTAAAACTGTAATTCTAATTTAGCCTATATATACTAGGAGCCTATGGCGATATTTTTCTTTTTGTCTTCATTTTCCCCTAATTCCGGTCCTGTCAGCGTTACATAATTAATAACTCCGCCATTAAGTTCAAGGTTTTAGACAATACAGTTGTGACAATGGACAGTAACCGCACAGTTAAGGAACGAACGACCTCCCCTTATGTTATTCGATATCCGTTAATAGTTCCTTCAATTTGTTTAACGCTCATTGTCGATATGCACGTATTTATTATTGTCTTCGGTAAATTGTTTATATTTATTTAATTGTCGCTTAGTGTCTTTTGTTGTATTCCGGTTTGAGGGCTGGGATAGACAATTGAGACGTCTCAAGGTGGTTACTTTCACGTCATGATATCAATGGTTATTCACTTAACACCAACTGGGTCATGAGCTCTTTTACCAATTCATGTGTAATCTTATTTTATATATAAAAATGAATTGCTGTTCATTAGTCTCGCTAAAACTCGAGAACGGCTGGACCGATTTGGCTAATTTTGGTCTTGAATTATTTGTGTGAAATTAAATAAAAATGACAATTCTGTTTTCCCTTTGATGTGTCCCCCGTCTAACGGATTTCTTTTGTTTGTTTTAAGTTTATTTTATACAAAAGCTTAGGTCTTTTATTTATCGATTGAGGCACTACGAAATCTGCCGGATCAGCTAGTAATATAATAATAATAATCGGTGGCCGGCAAGAAGTGAATGAGAAGATCTGTAGACCGGGCTCAGTGGTGTGGATCGGGAGAGGCATTTGTCCAGCAGTGGCCGACTGTGGGCTGTTGATGATGATGATGTGTAATAGCTATCATAAATGTTCGCGATTGACTTCCACGGTGAAAGAATAACATCGTGTAATAAAATTGAAACCCGCAAAATTATAATTTGCGTAATTACTGGTGGTAGGACCTCTTGTGAGTCCGCGCGGGTGGGTACCACCACCCTGCCTATTTCTGCCGTGAAGCAGTAATGCGTTTCGGTTTGAAGGGTGGGGCAGCCGTTGTAACTATACTTGAGACCTTAGAACTTATATCTTAAGGTGGGTGGCGCATTTACATCGTAAATGTCTATGGGCTCCAGTAACCACTTAACACCAGGTGGGCTGTGAGATCGTCCACTCATCTAGCAATAAAAGAAAAACACAAGATTTTGCTTGAATCTCGCTAACGACATTTTCAAGATAAGTCTACAGGTTTGGACTGTCAGTCTAACGTTACTTCCTAAACTGATCCAGTCATGACTGAAACAGATTCCGAAGTGATACAGTACTCTTCGTCACCTTCCAAATATGCAATAAATATAAAAATGAATTGCTATTCGTTAGTCTCGCTAAAACTCGAGAACGGCTGGACCGATTTGGCTAATTTTGGTCTTGAATTATTTGCGGAAGTCCAGAGAAGGTTTAAAAGTAGATAAATATGAAAATGCTCGGAATCAAATAACAATTTTGTTTTTCCTTTGACGTATCCCCCGTCGGACGGATTTCTTTTGTTTGTTTTAATTTTATTTTATACAAAAGCTTAGGTCTTTTATCTATCGATTGAGGCACTACGAAGTCTGCCGAGCCAGCTAGTATGCAATAAAAAACATCCTATATAAAAAAATATAGTGGAAATATTTTGATTATTATCTACAGACATAAACTGAATTTTTCGACCCCGTGCTGCAAAACAAAAATAGTACAATGGATTTGTTTGTCTAAATAATTTCGAATGTTTCTTCTAATAAATAAAACATTGGCATACATTAAGTGAGCACGGATGTAAGCAACATCTGTATAGGGTTCGTTTGGATTCCATTTAGCGAATCTATAGTAATGTTTAATCAGACGGACGTAAAGCGTAAATACATTATACATTGTACTTTTTATTATTTTTTTTTTATTGCTTAGATGGGTGGACGGGCTCACAGCCCACCTGGTGTTAAGTGGTTACTGGAGCCCATGGACATCTATAGCGTAAATGCGCCACCCACCTTGAGATATAAGTTCTAAGATCTCAGTATAGTTACAACGGCTGCCCCACCCCTTTTAAACCGAAACGCATTACCGCTTCATGGCAGAAATAGGCAGGGCGATGGTACCTAACCGCGCGGAGGTCCTACCACCACATACTAGAAATGTGTTTGCATCGACGTCAAATCAGATAAAAAACAAAATGGTTTGTGTCTGAGATTGATTAGAAATATCTATGACAAAAAATACAATACAAATGTGACTTCAACTCCAAGTCTAATGTTTGACGAGAGCTTTCACTTTCGGAGAGTAACCACCTGTAACCACTCAAAACCTAGAGGCCGTGAGATTTGCGTGAAAAACATCAAAGCTCGATTATAATTTTTTTCAGAATGAAATCATATATTTCAATCGGTATTTTTTTTATTTGAAGATTTCGATTAATTCAGTATCAGGTCGAATAGAACATTCAAAATGATATGCGTTTTTGATTTCTAAATAAGATAACGTGTGTAAATCTTATTACAATTCGCGATTAGGAGGCCCTTTTTAAATGGTATAATATTTATTTAATGATAATAACTGGGAGCAAATCATGCACGGTCATCCGGCCCAATTTGGGATTCCCTATATTATGAGTACCACAGATTGACATACATATAATACTTACACACGTTTTAATATATACATATATAGATATTAATCACCTAGCCAAAGAGCAAACAAACCTTTCATCACACGAATGTTTGCCCGATATGGGAATCGAATCCACGACCCGCGGCGTAACTGTCAGAAGCGCTAATTATTGCACTACCGATCCACTAATGGTGCTTTTAGGTACCTCAAGCATCAGTCATCGTTCTCGTCGAACCCGTCGCTTACAACGAAGGGCTCGACGAGTAAATTAACCCACAAACACAGCCCACTGAGTTTCTCCCCGGATCTTCTCAGTGGGTCACGTTTCCGATCC